GATTCAGTAAAAGAATGGAAAAAAATATCTGATGAAATACTTAGGACTAAGAAAGTTTTTAAAAACTATATTTTTGAGTAATATATTCAAGATAACTGTGAAGAAATAGTACTTAAATATTCTGTAAGGTAAAATGATTTTTAACACACATAAATTTAATTTTTTTAATTTAAAAAGATTTCTAAAATTTTCTCTTTCAATTGAAAATTTATTTTCGAACATAAATTTATTTTACGTTAAATTCTTTATATAACTATTTTCAAAAAAAAAGTCCTTTAGCTTATTTTTCACATTAAAATGTTTTTTATATTTACACAAATGTCAAATTTAAAATTTCATATTTTTTCAATTCAATATTCAATATTCAATATTTTTTATGTAAGAAAATCTAATATATGAAATAATTTTGTTCTGAAGTTTTTTCTTATTATTTTAAAAGCATAAATAATTTGTACTTAACTGATTATGTATGATATGATTAAAGCAACATATTTTTTTTTAATGTCAAGCTCAAGTAGATTATTATATACCACGTTTTTGCCATCGATATAGTTAGTAAAAAATACAGTTTTAATGCTCATAGATTATGTATAGAAAGTACAATCGAGCAGATTAACAAATTTTATTACAAGCCAAAATACTCCGTATGTATTTCAGATAAAATTAACTATTTAGCCCAGGCATACATGCAAGACTTAATCAGTTGATCTGCCTGGGCCTTAATTAAATTACGTTCTAATTTATGCAGTGGGGCAGCGGCAGTTGTGGCAGCCACAAAGCTGCTTATTAGTTACGTGTTAATTGTTCGACCGTGGGATATGTGGCAGAAACACGTGTCGGGGCGTGGCCGTGATTGTAGGCGTATTAGTCTGGCCCAATTAATTGCTTGACCATTTACAGATGGCATCATTGTGCTGGACGATGAGTACGTGCGTCAGAATCGCAAGATCTTCGTGCAGCTGGTGTGCAATTTTCGATATGGACGCGAGGATGATGAAATGATTGGATTGCGTTTCCAGAAGGAGCTGACGCTCGTCTCTCAGCAGGTGTGTCCGCCACAGAAAGAGGACATACAGCTGACCAAGATGCAGGAGCGTCTGCTGAAGAAGCTGGGTTCCAATGCCTTCCCCTTTGTCATGCAAATGCCCACCAGCTCACCCGCCTCGGTGGTGCTTCAGCAGAAGGCCAGCGATGAGAGCCAGCCCTGTGGCGTGCAGTACTTCGTGAAGATCTTTACGGGCGACAACGATTGCGATCGTTCACATCGCCGCAGCACCATCAATCTTGGCATACGCAAGGTGCAGTATGCACCCACCAAGCAGGGCTTGCAGCCATGCACAGTGGTACGCAAGGACTTCCTGTTGTCGCCCGGAGAACTGGAGCTGGAGGTGACACTGGACAAGCAGCTCTACCATCATGGCGAGAAGATATCGGTTAACATTTGCGTGCGCAATAACTCGAATAAGGTTGTGAAGAAGGTCAAGGCCATGGTGCAGCAGGGCGTCGATGTGGTGCTCTTCCAGAATGGACAATTCCGCAATACGATTGCGTTCATGGAGACCAGCGAGGGCTGCCCACTGAATCCTGGCTCCAGTCTTCAGAAGGTCATGTATCTGGTACCCACACTGGTAGCCAACTGTGATCGCGCTGGCATTGCCGTCGAGGGCGACATCAAACGCAAGGAGACGGCACTGGCCTCCACCACGCTGTAAGTTAGACAGCTTAAAGCTCTGCCATCTCTAACCATGACATTCACAGCATTGCCAGTCAGGATGCTCGCGATGCCTTCGGCATCATTGTTTCCTATGCAGTCAAGGTGAAGCTCTTCCTGGGCGCTCTGGGCGGCGAGCTGTGCGCCGAGCTGCCCTTCATACTAATGCATCCCAAGGTAGTTATTACCAGAAAACCACATAACGAATCTGTAATTAACATACTCTCTCCCGCACAGCCCAGCCGCAAGGCTCAGCTGGAAGCTGAGGGCTCCGTCGAGGCCTAAGAGTGCAGCTACCTCAACCTAAACAAATACAAAGTGCATATATTTATTTAGAAAACTTTAATCAAACTGTTTTATGGTATTATTAACAAACAAACCAAAGCTGATGTTGCTGAAATGTTCTGAAGTCTGCAGTCGTCGTAACTAACAAATCTATTTGCAATATATGTGTGTATGTGTACTATAAACGCTATCAATACAACTTATATTTTATGTTATAACTCAACTAACAATTATTTAAAATGAATAAAAAAATTTGCCTGATAAAAAGAATTTCGAACAGTTGGAAAATTGTCATGTCAAACAAAAACTTAAATTAGAATGCCAAATTTGCTAACTCTAAAAACAGAGTATAGATATATTTAATAATAAATGTGGTGCTGGCTATAAAAATTGTCATGATTGAGCTGCAACTGGCACGGAACACTATGTGCTTCACTTGAGCTCTGAAGCTAGTTCTTTGTTAATAATAGCTAAGTGTAAAGAGTGGCGCATAGAAGGTCGGAATGCCCTTTAGAATGCTGATTGGAGTAGATTACTTATATAGCAGCTAAATATCTACAGATATAGATTGCACGCTCACTCAATGCCATTATCTGCTTTCATTAAAACTGCAATCAAATTAGCTGCATTCAAATCTAGCTACCTGGACAGAGACTTTAGATAAGCTTTAATCGATATATTGGCCCTATTGGTGATTAGATAGTTCTTAGCTCTTATAAGTTTCTAGTGCTAATCTTTCATATATAGGAATGCACTTATAGATCGGCAGCTAGTCAGGCAGACTTATAGACAAAGCAGCATGTATATACTTCAATGAATCGATCAAAATTTTGCAATATTTATTTTCCCTAATTCCAAAACATATTTCTATTTTGATTTTCCAGCCACTTTTGCGTGAAATTAATCGCAATAAAAATACTTTTCAGCTATTTTTATTATCAAGCTATAAGTAGCAACTATTAATTTAGATTATTTATTCAGACACAGCCATCTCAACTATGTTTACTAAATCTTAAGCCATTTATAATGTTTTTCTAACACCTCCGATTCCTCTGCTACTACCTGATAACAATTTTTAATGCAATTAAGTTTGTGAGGTCCAACTATTTTTATGTTACACCTCGCCAACTAATCGCCTAATCAAGTGAAGATAAGCTAATCTAATTGCACACATCATATTTAGCAGACGACGAGTGTTGAATGCCTGGAAGCTCTACAAAGCTGTGCATAGTTTACCTGCTGCTGTAATTAAAATTTCTATTGGAATATTGAAATTCGAATTGATATTGAATTTGTGTTAAATGCTGGCCGCATCGGTGCATTGGTTTACTTTAATTTAGCTGCCCTGTGCAATGATGTTGCGAGGCAGAGATTAATTGAAATACACGTAGCCGCAAAAGTAAACGTTGCGATTAGCATATAGCATATAGCATATTGATTTAAGCAGCCTGGCCAATATAAGCAAGGGGCATAGTAATTTCATATGCAGCAGTTGCTTGCCAAAATGCACTTGAATAAATGCATAATCTTCAGCAACTCTCATGTTGGGCTACCGACCCATGTGGCATCTGTGGTGGAATAATGCATAATCCAACCTAACGGTGTATGTATTTGCCACTGTGTGTGCGGTTAAGTGTTTACTACAATAATGCATATTGTAGCTCGGCTTGGCAACCAAATAATAATTGCAGAGTGGAAAATGTAGCGATGCATAGTTAAGAATTGAAGCAAGAGCTTACAAAGGTGTATAACAGTTGAATGGCTTGAAATTACGTATAGAAATGAGGTGCTAAGTGAAGCTGTTACATGCTCATTGCGTAAAGCTATTGAGAAGTTAACAAATTTTGAGTAGAACAGTTGTTAAGTTGAATCTTTGGTAAGTATAACAGTTTTAGGTATAACATTTGCTATGCATTTGTTATGTGTAACAGTTGTTAAATATTGCAGCTGATATGTATAACAGTTTTATAACAAGCATAAAATTGGTTAAGTATGCCAGTTGCCAGGTATAACAGTTCATAAGTATAACAATTGTCAGGCATAAAAATAGCTATATGGAAGAGTTAACAGGTTTAACTAGCTAAGTATAACAGTTTTTAAAACCGTCATTCATTATTACATTTGATGAGTATAACAGTTCTAAGGTATCACTATAAAAGTATGCCAGTTGCTTAGCCGTTCTTGAGTATAACAATAGTTTTGTTTAAAAATTACATATATAACAGTATAACAGTTTTTAAGTATAGGTTATGTCATGGATTTGATATATATAAACGTGGTTATATATTAATATAAGTATAACAGTTAGTAGATTAGTAGATTATAACAGTTATAATAGCTGCTAAGTATACCAGCATAACATTTTTATATATAACAGTTAGATAAATATTTTTAATATTAAAAATAAAATATACAATTCGTTTCTGAAGTATAACAGTAATCTTTATATCATTTATAATATCATTGGAGCTCCTGTACTTAACTATTTGATTAAGAAATACCTTGAAAGCTTGCAGATTAAACTAATTTGTTATATGAAAGCTCTAAAAAAAACAAAGCTATCGAATAATGCAGCTTTGTTTATTTCCATAAAGATTTTCCCACTCATAATTGATCGTAAAACTCAGTTAATTATCATAAATTCAGCTTAGTCATCGTTAGCCAAACAGCGCCAAGCAATGCCATCTGTTGCTAGTTATTCATAAGCAAACTTCAAATTTCACACCAGACTCTAATCATGCAACTGATAAGAGGAGTAACCCTGAAATTCTATCAGACTTGTTGAATTTCATTGAGTGCATGGCACATATATCTGGACAGCGTCTATTCATGGAATCATAAACTTTGAGGCAGCCATTAAAAGTGAATAATAAAAAAAATATATATATATATATACCATATGGAAAAAAGAGATTATGGTTAAATTGCGATTATAGCATATGAAGAGAATCGAAGCTAGATTAAGCAATAATGCAAAAGTAAACTAGCTAACATTGGCTTTCGCCGAGGGCATTTCGAACATAGACGTCGCGATGTGCTGTCGCTGCTGTGGTGTGACCCAACAAAAGGTCTGGGTCTTTGGCTCTGGAACACTGTTTGCCCTATTGGGTCTCTTTTTCATCATATGGTGGCCCGGTATTATCGATAATATAATAATGAAGGCAGGTTGATATAGAAATACTCGACTGGATGCATTGTAATATCTCTGTAATAACTCTTGGCTTGCACACAGTCTCTGCCGCTGACGCCCACATCGAAAACATTTAGTAAATGGGAAGAGTTGCCCATACCAATTTATATGAAAATGTATCTGTGGAACTGGACGAACGCGGACGAAGTAAGGGTACATGGCGTTAAGCCAAATTTCGAACAAGTCGGACCCTATGTTTACCGGGAAGAGCGCCTGAAAATGGATTTGCAATGGCATGAGAACAACACAGTTACCTTCAAGCCACGACGCACCTGGTTCTGGGAGGAGGAAATGTCCGGTGGCAAGCAAACAGACCTGGTCACAGTACCTCATCTGCCATCGATTGTGAGTACTTTTAACATCAATTTCAACCAAATTTAAGATATTTTTTGTGCACTTCAGGCGGCGTCGGCTTCCATGCGTAATATTCCCAAACTAATTAAGGCAGGTTTTAACTCTGCACTCAATGCCAACGGCGGTGCACTGTATGTGACCCACACGGTCAGTGAGTGGCTGTTCGATGGATTCTACGATGAGTTTTTGCATTATGCCATGACCTCGAAAAATCCTTTGGCTCCGGTCATTGAGACGGATCAATTTGCCTGGTTTCTGAATCGAAACAATTCCGAAAACTTTGAGGGGGCCTTCACAATTCACACGGGCGTTGGCGATATCAAAGAAATGGGCGAAATCAAATTCTGGAATGGCCTCAACCATACGGGCTGGTATGAAGGCGAATGTGGACGCCTCAATGGCAGCACCTCAGATCTCTTTGTGCCCGATGAGCCGAAGGAAAAGGCGCTTACTATATACATAACTGACACCTGTCGTATTATCAATTTGGAGTATTCGGGTCAGAGCTACGAGATTGAAGGCATTCAGGGCTGGAAGTACGAGGTGACGCCCAACACCTTTGATAATGGACAACGAAATGGAGATATGAAATGCTATTGCCCCGTCGACAAGCAGCCCAACAATTGTCCACCCTCCGGCGCTACTGACTTAGGTCCTTGTGGCGATGGGGCACCTATGTATCTTTCAGCAGACCACTTCATGTACGCGGACGACAGCTATTCCAGCACAGTAACTGGCTTTCAGCCAGACTATGAACGCCACAATTTCTTCATCATAATGGAGCGCAAATTAGGTGTACCTCTAGAAGTCAATGCAGCTGTCATGGTCTCACTCTTAATTGAAGCGGATGAGGACATTGAGTGAGCTAACAATCATTATCTATAGATATATAACTGTTATCTAAATAATCTACTCCAATCTACACAGCATTCTGAAGGACATTCCGACCTTCTATGCGCCACTCTTCACGTCGGCCAGCTCAGCTATTATTAACAAAGAACTAGCTTCGGAGCTCAAGGTAAGCATATAGTGTTCCGTGCCAGTTGCAGCTCGTTTCTGACATTTCTTTATAGCTGGCACTAAATCTACCTTCAATTGGATGCTATACGGGCATTGGTTTTCTGTGCTTGGGCTGCATCCTTTTGGCGGTGGCCAGTTTCCTCACTCTCAAGCGCAAGTGGTATGGACAGGCAGCCACTGATAGGTTGGCGCTCATCAACTCAGATGCGCAAGCCACAAATGACTCAATTAAAGCTGAGGAGTTAAAGAGCAATTAAAATAAAGCTAAAGAGTCTTGGTTTCTTTTAAAACAAAAAATATATATCAAACGTGATTTTCGGTTGTGATTCATATGTTTAATTTTCTAAATTTATAAAACAATATTTTTATTTTAAATAAATTGTACGTTGTATGAAACTTTATGGAGAGTTGTTCTAGAAGATTTAAATGCTTGGAATGCATAAAAGAATAGAGAGAAGCTTCTCTTAATTCACATATTACTTACCTAGTGCAATACAAGAAGGGCTTCTGCCCAGACCTGAAGAGAGCTGAACCTTTTTTGTTAAGACTTTACTGGGTATAGAATAGAGAGATTAAAATAGATTACTTTTGGCTTAAGTAAAAATACTTTAGCCTTCAATCAGGTCAATACGCTGGCATTTGTTGTTTAGCTCCTAATTAAACCTCTTCTTTCCTGGACTGTTTCTCTTCTGAAACCATGTATTATACCGCGTCAAGATGAAGTTCTTCTACATTCGCTAACTGAACACTGCCATCCATGTTCCTTCAGTCATGTTCCAAGTTTGCTTATTTGCTCAGAGCGTGTCCTGAGATCTAACCATTAATAAGAAACAATGCATATATTATATTATAATAATATAATAATTAATACATAAATTATAATTTGAGTAAATAGGACAGAGTTCCAGACAAAAGTTTATATAAATGTTTTCAACTTCAGCTCATACCGTTATGTATTTGTTCAATAGGAAATACCAATATATTTTTACAGATCTATCTCATTTGTAGCTGGCAAGTTTTATTATAGTTTTTTATAAGATTTAATCTAGAATTTTTTTTTTTTTTTTTTTTTTTGTTTGTCTAGAGTTAGATTTTAATCTAGATATATTAGATTTTATTCTAGAGTTGAGCTGTTCTGACCAAACCCAACTCATTTCGAAGTTCAACTGCTGTTGTTTCTAACCAAGCAGTGTTTAGGAGAGAAAGTCGCCATAGACTATGCAGCCTTCTAGTATTGTTAAGACTAGCCAAACAGTTCAAACACTTTCAACTGAAAGAGCCAAAAATTATGCAATAATAAAATAAATAAATAAATATTTATAATTGCAGAGGAATTCCTAAAGACGCACATTAGAATGCCACACTAACCTACTAATCAAATCGCTATCAGCATAAAAACAATAAATACTCTAAACAATTTTAGAATTAACATAGAAAAAGCAACTTTGAGACGATTAATACAATCTACGTGGGCCCTAATATATACAGTATATGTTTTAATCTAATCAAAACATAGAATTCAGATCGTCTTTTCTGTTAGTCGTATAAACAATGGCAAGCCACAATTTTCTCAATCAGTCGCAAAATGTGCTGCGACTGTTGCAGTGTTCGGCAACAAAAGTTCTGGGTCTTTGGCCTGGGCAGCTTTTTGCTGGTGCTGGGAACTGTTTTACTTTCGGCCTGGCCCAGTTTATGTCGTCAACTGATGCGCAGCCTGTTGCCCCTGGCTCCGAACTCGTTCGTATACAAAGCCTGGGTGACGACTCCTACACCAGCGTATACAACATTCTATCTCTTCAATTGGACCAATCCGGAGGACTTGAATAATGCCGAGGTGAAGCCAAATTTCGAACAATTGGGCCCCTACACGTTCAGCGACTACAAGGAGAAAGTGGACCTGTTATGGCAACAGCCGGAGGTTACCTACTACGGACGTCGAGTCTGGCACTTTTTGCCAGAAAAATCAAATGGCAGTCTAGACGATGTCATTGTGACGCCGCACTTTCCAACACTGGTGAGTAGGACTTTATGAAAAAAAATTAAATTTATTTATTGCGAAGAGCTAGCTTATCTTTAGATACTTTAGACACTCAGATATAATTAAATTTTTGTTGTTGGTGGATTCATCGTCTTTTTTATTTATTTTTTTTTTTTTTCATTTTAAGTACTTTTTTTTAATTTTCTGTTATGTTATGTGTCTGATGTTATTCAGAAGAAGCTATTAAATGTTGAGTATTATTGTTACCATTGTAATAATATTTTTAGAACTTTTGTGGCCCTGAGTTCATCATTTTTTTTTTTTTTTTTTTTTTTTTTTGGAGCAACGCAAGATTAAGTCGTAATAACATAAAAAAATAAAATGTTATTATTACCTAAATGAGCTTTATAACATAGAAATTTGTATGACATTAGCTTTAAAATATGATTTTGACTTCGTGATCAAACAATTTAATTTTTTATTTAAATGTTTTTTTAAAAAATCTTGTGGATTTTCCTCATCTCAAATGTGGACAAATTTTACTATATACACACTCAATTAACCATTCACTATTATTTCTACTGTAAGTCCATTAATTTTTAGCGTGAAGCCCAGCTAAAGCCTCAGCTACATATGTCTATCTCGAATTTATCTTTAATTTCGGTTATTTTCATTTTTGAGTCAAGTTTCAAGCCGTTGAGTTCCTTTGAATGGTAAACCCTAAAAAATTATCCTTTAATTTACGTTTTGTATTTTTGTATTTCAAAAAATGTTAGCAATACTACAGAGCCCTGCCCCTGTCTTATGAAAATTTTTGCTATAGTTTTTTTGTCTGCTCTTTTTGCATAAAACATTTGTGCTTAAACTGCAGACGGCCGCCCGCTATGTGCGCAAACGTCGTCGCACGCTGCGAAAGATTATGAACTTTGCGCTGAATCGGGAGGGCGGCGGCACCTACATGAGCCATAAGGCTGGACAGTGGCTATTCGATGGCTTTTATGACGAGCTCATTGACTTCGTGGAGCGTCTGCATACGCCGCTTATGCCCGTATTTAGCGACCATTTCGGTTGGTTCTACAGACGCAACAATTCGAAGACGGCCGAGGGAAATTTCACAATACACACGGGCCGAGGCGATCTCAGTTGGATGGGCGAGCTCCAGCTGTGGAATGGCAGCGCCCACACGGGCTACTATGGGGGCGAGTGCGGCAAGGTCAATGGCAGTACGGGCGAGCTGTGGACGCCGGGTAGGCAGTGGCACGAGACAATTTCCATATTTTTGCCAGATGCAGCGAGATACATAAATCTGTACAGCATGGCGAATGTCACAGTGCAGGGCATCGCAGCCTGGCGCTACGAAACCAGCCAGCTGACCTTCGACAACGGCCAACTGGCGCCGGATACGAAATGTTTTTGTGTTGCCAAACATGAATGTCCGCTGAATGGTGTGCTAGATTTCTCACCAGTCGCCATGCACGGACCCATTTACGTATCGCATCCGCACTTCCACATGACCGATGAGTTCTATAGGCGAAATACGACGGGCCTACAGCCAAATCCCGCTGAACATGGCATGTATGTGGTAATGGAGCCGACACTGGGCATACCGCTAAGCCTGAAGGGACAAGTTATGATCAGTGCGCTGGTGCAGCGCGATGAGGCCATCGAGTGAGTATATTTGCCTATTTGTTTGTATGCCAACTATGGCATACTATGTGTTATATATGTGATGATATATCATGCCATTTTGCATACTATTTCGTATGCATGGCATGCTGCCAAGTCTTTCATATGTCATACAACGTGCTCTAATTTCAATTAGTTTTGCATTGCTTTCAGTTTCGTTGCCCTATGTACTCTAGAAAGTACGCTTTCTGCTTGATCTTTCATTTTTAATAAATTTCTATAAGTTGATTGCTGTTGATATAGATTTCAGCTTTCTCTTATGGCCTTTTCTGTCCCGGAGCACTCTTAATACGCTCCTCTAGTCATACATTTATATATAATAAACAACTCTTCTACAATTCTCAGCTTGCTCAAGAATATTGCCTATGATCACTATGCGCCGCTTTTCGTAATTCAACTTTATGCTGACTTGAGTGATGATCTGATCAGTCTGCTGAAGGTCAGTTTCGCACAGTTCTAACATCAAATTTACCCTTTACTTAATTCTGCTTTCAATTACAGCTGGCATTAAGTGTGCCGCAGATAGGTCAATTCACAGGTCTCGCTCTGCTGATCATTGGCATCGTCATGCTAATCGTAGGCATCGTTGTGACTAAGCAACATAAGTGGCACAATGAGTGCCAAATCGAAGTCAATGACCCGGTGCAAGCACTCGAAACAGACGGAGTCAATGACAGCTGTTATCGATAAGTTGTTTTACTCACATTACGCTTTGCTATATGATAAAGACTGCTTTTGTTATTAACGGTGATTATATTAGGCTATTATTAATATTAAAAAAAAATGCGCCATTAAAATGAGTTTCTTAACACAAATTGTTTGTTTTTGGGCAATTTCCTTGAGGTGTTGCCCAGCTGCGCTCGTCTAGAATTACACGAAATTATGGCCTCTCAGATATGCTAAAATTTATTAATATGTTAATAATTGTATTTTATTTTTGCTTTTGTTTCATATTTGTGTGGTGCCTGGTGGTGCACAGGCAAAAACCTTGAGCACGTAAGCTGCATACTTTACGGCGTACGAACTCTTTCACCTAGCCACACACACACACACACACACACACACACACACACGCACACCCGCACGACCAACCAAATTGCTAACTGGAAATTTGAAAAATGCCAACAGAATATTATAAGCGGCTAATTTATATTCGCCTGGCACGCAAACTTACGTTTTGCACACACATTGTTGTCGAAGAACTCATACAGAGGCAGAGGCAAAGAGCGGGAGACAGACAGAGGCCGGTGCGGGCTTAGAAAGCGCAGGAAGTGGGTGGCGTAGCAGCTTAAACAATGTATGAAAATATGAAAATTATATGGCAGCAAATATGTGTTGGCCATAACTTTAATAAATACACACAAGTTATGATTAAGCTCAGCGAAAAATGCCATGCTGCTGAAAAGGCTTTAAGACGCTTGTATTCAAATTAGGCTATAGATTATAGACTCTATGATGTCAAAAAATATAAAGAAAACACCAGATTAACATAAAAGAAAATGTTAAGCTCTTGCTTAATAAATTATAGTTATATTATTAATAAATTTGTATTAAACTGTTTATGTGTCGTCAAGCAAAACTCATCTGATTCATGCTCAAATAATTTAGTCAAAAATGTATTTGCATTTTCTGTGGCAATGCAATCTATTTCGGTTGCAAACAGCAAACATACTGTGGCAAATGCCGGCACAAATATGATTTACATTTATTTATTTAGACACATGCGCTGGCATTTTAGGCCAAGAGTTATTTATCAACTAAAATCGCATCGGATTGGTTAGATTTGCACATTTGCATTTATTGAGATTGCAATTCATTTCATTTTGATGTTATTTGAGAAGGATTTTGGATCCACACTGCATTTTCTATGACCATAAAAAGGATTAAGCTGATTTGTGTGCCTAGATTAATGTAAGATTACAATTAAAAGAATATTATGAAAACTTACACAATAGCTGAACAAGATCACAAATATGATTTTTATATGTACTTCATGTCATAAGTTTTTCTGATATGTATAACTTTATAGAGGGCATTCCTGCAAAATTCACGAAATTTAAAAAAAAATGTAATAAATAATATTAACAATTTTTTTTTTGATTTAAAATATTTATAATCAAGTTAAAATAACATAATTTATCTTTTATAACAAAATAACATTTTATCTTTTATTTATTTTTTATTAAAAATATATGTATTTTTGCGTTTAATATTATTTTATTTTGTTTTTTAAGAAGTTTCGTTAATTTTGTTATATTTTATTGTTATTATTTTTTATATATTAATTTTTAATTTTTTATTAAATATGAATTTATGAAAAAGCCTTATTATTCTTTAACTAAAAATTGCCGTTCTTTCCCTCTTCAATCTCTAAAAACAATGTTTATTTTTAATTTATATTTTTAATTTGTAAAAAGATTATTTATTAATTTATTATACCTATATTTATTTCTGTTTTATCATAGTTTTATTTGTTTTCATTTAAACCTGACTATGGCTTATTTACTTACAACCTGTTTAATTTTTTATATATAATTAATTAATATAATTCTATATGAATGTGAAGTTCAACTATACTTTAAGCTCTTTGCATTTTAATGCCTGAGATTGTTATTAAAAACCCATTTGCCCTAGTTTAACTTTTGAAATACCTTTTTCAGCTGCTTTGAGGTTTGATGTAAGCAAGCAACAGATCGAGCTACAGAGCAACTTCATTATTTTGCTTAAACCGCCCACAAAAAATATACTCAAAAAAATATATTTTGTACATATATATGTGTGTGTGTGTGTGTTTGGGAGTGTGTTGGGCATTTTTATGCATAAGCCAAATGGCATTGTTGCTGTTGGCCAGCAGCTCGTCAGCTCGACTGTTGTCCGTTTATGTCGCGAAAACTTTGGTGTCCTAATCTGCTGCCTGTCTTGCATACTAATTTGTTTGCTCTTGGTCTGTTCCGCTTTATAGGGCCGGCGAGTCTTACTCTTTTTGGATGCTTTCTTTACCGCCTTTATGGTTTTTTGCCCCCTTACTCTCTCTCTCTTTCGCGCTCTCCCTCTCTCCCGCTGCTATTCGTTTTGTTGACAACCCATAGATTATGTTGTTGGTTTTGGCTTTTGTGTGTTGTTCCAGGCCAAAGCATGTTCTGGATCTATGTATATACATATAAATATATATGTATATACGTGTATTGCTGTGTTTGTGTGTGACTGTTCTCTCAGTGTCATGTTCGTAGGGCTTATGCATTCAGTTTGGCTTGCGGCTCGGTTCTCTCTTGTCCATGGACTCCATTGGCTGGTTTTGTTTGTTTGGTTATGCTGCCCACTCCGCACTCTATAAAGCCTTGTTTAGCTGCTTAATTTTTTCCTTTGTCATGTTGACAGCCCTTCGACAAGGTCTTCTGCCTTGTTTTTTCTTTTCTTCCTTGTTTGTGTGTGAGTGAAGTGTTGCTTGGGTTCATTTTTCGCACAATTTAATGTTATTTAATTGGTATTTAAGTTTATGAAAATGTTTGTGTTTCAGCTGCCAGCGAATGGCCTTCAAATTGGGTCGGCAAAGAGAGTTAGGATCTACCCGAAAGATGTCGAGGTTAGTTTTGATGTGGTTTTTTCTTACTTTAAGCCATTTTTGTAACACAACAAAAGTATGCAACACATTTTGCAATTCGAAAAATTCAATTAAAATAAAACGTATTGCAGTTAATTTTCGCTGACATTTTTAAATGCAACGTTAACCACAATATGGCCCCCATATTTTACAATAAATCTTTGCATTTTTTCCCGTTTTTTGTTGTTTTACAGAATGGATGTTGCAATTTTCTATGTGTTATGCTGCTGCTGCCTACAAGTTTCATATGGACACACATTCTACTGGCCTTTGGCGTCCAATGGGCGCCACAAAGTTGACAGTAACACACATACACACACGAAACGTAATAAAATTAAAGAAAAAAGATAAAGAATTTAAGCCACCAAAGCAACAGCAAATGTTCGCTTGACAATGTTGGCGGAATTTAAAAATTCAATTGGAAAAAGTCAAAGAGTGGAGTGCACGTGTAGATTCCGTATAAATCCAAATATATATTTTTATAAATGGCTGTGTATATGCATTTTGTGTTACTATAAAAATTGCCTATTTCGGAGCATTTGCCACATGGGACATGCGCTAGCAAATTATATAGCTTTTATTGTCTAACAGCTTTTTGGCATATATAGTGTTAAAAATACATGCAACTGCAACAAGGAGTCCAATATAAATAACAGCTGGCAGGCAATTTAAAATCAAAATATAACAAAGAAATATAAGCTTGTCAGAAAACTAAAAATAAAAATACTCAGAAAAATAATAAATAACAAAAGTAAAATAAAAATTTGTATACAAATATATAAGAAAATTTCAAAGAAATACAACTACAAACTAGTTAGGAAATAAAAACAAAAGATAAAAGAGTATAAAAAAATATATAAACTATTCAGAGTGCTGCGTATGAATTAAAATTTCATAAAATGACAAAAAAAAATAGAAAAATATTAAATGCTTGTTGGAATGTATAACATGAAAGGAAAAATATAATCAAATTCAAAATGAATTTACGTAAAAATATTTACAACTTTTACTAAACTAAACAAATAACTAGCCAGAAATTAGAAAAATATTGTTAATAAATAATAAAAACTCTATGAAACTTATATAAGAGAGAAAAAGTAATGAATAAGAATATGAACAAATAATGATGGTAAACGTTATTAATATAGTAAATAAAGTTCAGTTTATAGTAGTGTAAATTATAGAAAAAAAGTTAAGCAAAAATATTAAATAAAACTAAAAAATTAAAATTAACTATGAGCCATTATATAACAGATCTAATAATTAAATAAATTTATACAACTATTGGCAACAAAAAAAAAGCAAATAAAAAAGAAGAAAAGAAATTATAAAAATATATATAAAACATAAATACATATAGTAAAAAAAGTTAGATTTCAATCGAGCAAACGTATAAAACATAAAAAAATCGTTTTTATTGTTAAAGCATTGTTTGATGAAAGGTGGACCAAAAATAAAAAGCCAACTGCAATGCAATAAGAAATAAAAAACGTATATAAATAAATTCTTAAAAAAATATAAAAAGCCTAATTAATTAATTGTATTATATTATATAATCCTATAATCCATGTATGTATATGTGTATACTTATTAAATATATAAATTAAATAAAACATATATATATATACATATATATGTGTATGTGTGTATATAATATATAATATATATATATGTACCATACGCAAGCGACTACAATTGCAATTAGCATATGTCAAACCCAACCCAAACATTATCCATGGCTGCATATTAAAAATTACAATAAACCAACTGGGCACAGTGCCTTTTAATTATGTTCTCCAATGGCCACGCAACAAATAATAAAATATTTTGAACTTTGTGTACATGATTTTAGTTAATGTTCGCTTTGTTGCAAAATGTTTTTTGGACTGTGTCATTATTTCCGCAGCAGTTGGATGTGGAGACAGCGTTGTAATTAAAACTGCGCTCGGCTAACAAAACATATTTCAGCAGCTGACAAAAATGTTGTTGCTGTTGTTGTTTGCATTTGGTCAGGCAAATATTACGCATACGCCATGTGCGACACAAAGTGCGTTTTAATTGCCGCCGCGTGCTTTTATGAAGTGCACATAAAATGTCAGCCATAAAGTCGGCCCTTGTCTGGCCACGCCAAGCAAATGAAATGCAGCTGCACATTTTTGCATAGAAGTCGTAAATTGTAAAATTGGGCAAAATTCTTGTTGTGCTAAGGCCTGGGGTCAACTTTGAAGAGCAGCTGGCGGCAGAGCTTATGTTGGCTCGCAGCCAAAGGCTATATCGAAATGGAAAGTCCAAAAATGGCAGCATTAACTGAAAACTGCTTCAGTTAATGCTGCTGTCGCTGCTACTGCCGCTGCTGCTGCTGTTGGAAAAACAATTTGCCAAAGGATAGAAACATTAAAGGACAGGCCAAAGGCCATGCAGAGAGGAAGACGCTCTGTGTGTCTGTGTGTGTGTGCTTGTGTCTGTGTGCGTTATCGGTTCGAGGAAGACACTTCCACTGGCTGCCCTCTGCTGACCAAGTTGACTGCATAAATTGCCGGCAAGCTGTCGTTAGGCAAACGAGCTGAGGCTTAGCGCCTGGAAGTATGCAGCAGATTGGGTCTTGTTGCAGCATATGACTATGCATATTTGAAAGGCAATTTCTTGACGCACCAGCTCCGTTTCCATCGCATGCAAATGCAATTTCATTCATGTTTACAGGCACTTTACAGTGCATCATGGCACCGGAATATATATATACGCATAATTGCATTTCGCATCAATTTCCACAAAAAGCAACTCAACTGTGCCTTAGACATTATTTTAAGCAAACAGTTGGCCCGCTCGCCTGTCAATGCTAACAGCTGTTGGCAGCAGCGCAACACATTAAATCGCTCAATCGTTCATTTCGCTGCCAAACATTTCAATCAATTCAGTCGCAAATTTCACTTCCGCATCCGCTGTGCCAGCCGCCTTCTGGGAAAATGCATGAAATACATTTAACAACATTTTCACACTTATACCGCAGCATTTTGTTAAATTCACATTAAATATACATGGACAGCCGCCAAAATGGCAGCTGCAGCAGCACCCACCTAGCGCCACCCAGCACCACCCTGTCAAAATGTCATTGCGAAAATCCATGAATGCTTACGTATCCGCTTATGCAGTCGACTGTGGGCGGGCGTTGATATTCACGTGATAAACGCGTATTCAGTTACGCAACACGACATTGCAATTATATATGTAAATATAGCGCACATGCCACTTGCTCTTGCATAAGCCACGATATGCCTGCCTCTGACTGGAACGAGTATAAATGCGACGACAAAACTACCTCTGTCTCGCCATTAAAGCAAAAGGCTTAAAAGCTTAGAACGAATACGTTTGGCTACAACGGATTGGCTTTATGAATATATATATGTTCTTAATACTTAACTGCATTATACCAAAGAAAATGTGTATAAAAAATATAGAAAAATACAAATTTAAATTGCATTTATATTTTGAAAATATAGATTAGTATTTTAGTATTTTATTATATATGTAAGTGTAGAACCTGTACAATCAAATATAGAGGAAAATATATATTTGAAAAAATTGAGGAAAACAATTGATGCTTAGAATACATTTAAAGGCAAAGCTGAAAAAAAGTATCTGTATATTTTTCAGTTTTCATTTGAAACTTATTCTATAGATAAAATATATCCAGTTTAGCTTTCTGTTTTGGGTTACGACTTTCGAAATTATTGCGCGTCTAAATGAATTTTTTTTTATTTTTTATATAAATCTATAACTTATTTAATTCTTTTACTATTCTATTATAATTTTTTTTTATATATCAGATTCCTCTGCGTTCCAGAGCAGTGACATCATTACATGCCTCGCCTCTTGTTGCTTATTGTCAGCTTAGATGCTAGCTGCACTTGAATGCTCCGTCATTCGATGAGCTATAGGCGCAATTGGAGTTGTAGCTGGGAATGAAGCTGTAGCTAGAGCTAGTGGGTGAGCTGAAGCTGAAACTGAAACTTGAGGAGAAATAAGCTGAAGCTGAAACTGAAGATGAAACTCGAGCTGGAAGCTGAAGCTGAAACTGGAAGCTGGACCAGCAGCGGGAGGTAGAGATGGAGCAGAAGCTAGTGCCGAAACTGTGTCACCCAATGAGCTCTGCAAATGTAGTTCAAAGATTCAGCTGCAGTTCATTTCAAAATCTGTTGATTTCATAACGAACCGCAAAGCCCCATGGAAGCGATGCATAGAGCAAGATTGAGATAACCTTGTCAATGTTGGCTTTGCTTTGTCACATGCGGACACTCTACTCTTCTAGTGACTATATTATTTGCTTAAATATATACATGATTATTATTATAAATATCTGAAAATTCTTAGTAATTCTTGATTATTTACCAAGTTAGTTAAAAGTAAAATTTCTATCTAAATTTCGAAACTTTCTCTTCATATTTCTAATCTGAGCTCCCTCCAAATTTCGCTCATTTATTGAACAATTGCAATTCACAACATTTGTTCTAAATCAAAACACTTTTGTTCCACAGTGCAGTCACATTTATCTATAGGCATTGTTGCTTTGTTGTCTCTGCTTCTCTGCCCAGCCGCAATTCGGACATACAAATGGCATTTGTGCGATTGGCTATTCAATAATGCAAACAGAGTTGACTTTACGCATGCAATGAATACTCATTGTTTGTGCCACTGTGAATGTGGCACGTTTAATAATGCCAATATGTAAATATAATATATATAATTTAGACTGTTTGTGTCACGGCATATGTCAATTGGAAGCCCGTTTCGGTTGCAGTTGTCTGTGCATCGCTGGAGAAGTGAATGACAAATGGCGGCCGTGCGATTAGTTTGCTGCCGGCGAGTCCATTGCCGCAGTAGTAGGTGGGCTGCAGTGCTTGATTATTGGCCACATATGAGTTGGCTATTAGCAGATAGTCCGAAGCACGCCCCAAGGTGCGCACAGTGCTATGGCAGTCCGTGTCGTAGCCGGGGCCAGGTGCATCATTGAATTTCGATAGGGCAAAGTGTTCAATCTTGTAGCTGCAAGGCGAGAGTAACAATTTAACAAGATAAGATATGAGTTTCATATGAAGTTTGATTCATAGTTCTGTCTCAGATTAGTTTAGATCTGCTGCAACAGTTTCTCAATGAACTTTAACTTAATTCATTCAGAATTGCCCCAACTTCACTCACCTGATTTCCCGATCAGCACCACCTGCCACGCATATGGCATACTTCATGTTAGGCATATATGGGCCACTGGCAAAATTGAAGCTGACAATGCCGCCCGACGAACTGCGCCAGTACTGATCACAGCCGAGTGGCGCCAACAGTTCCAGATCCGCTGGAGAGGGTGCTGTCAGTGTCTGCAGCAGCTGAGCTGCTGGGCCACCAGCGGCGCTGCCACCAAATATGGTGCGTGGCAGCAAATTGCTCAGGAAGGGCAGCAGAGGTCGCACAGTCGGCAACTGGGGAGCACTGACTGCCGCTGCTGCAGCTGGCTGCTGCGTATGCTGCAGACACTCGATTTGTGTTAGCGTCAGCTGCCACGTGGACTGCGCTGAGTGGCTGACCAAGTTGAAGTGCAATTTGAGTGTCTGGCCGCGCTGCAGCTGCACGTACAAATGCTGTCCGTTGTTGCGGCCGCAGAGCTGAAAACGCTGCACCTGCACAAAATCGACGCACTCCAGCAGCTGCGTGCTGGCATTGAGCGTGGGCTGCGCCAGCTCCAAGCGCTCGAAATCGATGCGCACTTGACAGACCTGTGCGCTCCATGGCGCTACCTCATAGTGGCAGCTATCCAGCTTGCTCAGCTCCCCAGCTCCCGGATTTCGTATGACAATGCGCTTTTGCCGCGCACTGGACCCAGCATTGCACTGCAACTGACAGCGAACCCCGTGCCAAAAGCTCAGCAAGAGCAACAACATCCACAAGAACTTCATACTTTTTACTGAAGCAATGATTTAATTTTAAAATTTGGCAGTCTTTTGGCTTTTATATATGAATTCTTTTGATTTGTTATCAACTTGCGGGCAAGATACCGCAGATATCGACAACTGATATTGACATTCGCCGTTGCCAGATAACAGATGTCTCCAAACGCGACAATAGCTGGTCCGCACAGCGTCTGGTCCAATAGATGTCAACAAGTTGTCAAGTTGCGAAATGTGGTGGAAACTTCATGAATCAGCAAGTTAGCAGTGGAAAAAATCTGCTTCACATTGAAATATGTAAAGAGTTTGTGTGGAAGCATATTTTGTTTGAGCGTAAAAAGACGAAACCAAGGTGAAGTGAAACCAAGGTGAAACCAATTCATTTAGTTGAAATATTGTTATAGAGTTCAGCCTTAACAAGTGAAAGGATTCTAGTAGGCAGTGCCACTGCCAATAGCAGTTATCCTGAGGTCTTCGATCTATTGTAGTACTGTACTCTGATTAGCCTGTATTCTGGTAATCTTCTTGCTCTCACTGCAGCTTCTGTGTGAGTATATAGATTATAACATTATATTCCCAAGTAATTTCTTAAGATTGATTGAGCTTGAGTCTCTGGCTGGAATAAAAAAGATATCTAAAAAGTGGGCTATTCATATTTAATTCATAGAACTAGATCCAGACACTTTTGAAATATTTGCAAATAATTCAAATTCCAACTCAAATTCAATTAATTAATAAACGACTTTATTCAATCTAGTTGAAACTATGCTACATCGACTTTGCCATAAAATTAGTTGAAGAATGCCAAGAATATAATTTTCCAAGCATGAATATATGGACAACTTTTAGGTATAACAGAAACTCTTGAATTGTTTTCGATGAAGGCAGATTCTTCTACAGAAGTTTTCATACCTAGAAAACAAATTTAAGCACGAACATATTGACGTCTTCAAGCGGTATAGATACACTCAAAGAAACACTTGTTGCCCATTCTCTACTATCACGACGTGGAAAACCCTAACAACAGTCATATAAGAACTTTAAATAGCTATTCATAATTTATTCCTCATACAAAAAAAAATTTATATATATATTTTTGTTATTGGCCAAGCCTCTTTCTGCCTCTAATAAAGTTATCTGTAAAAACATCAGGCCGTTATTTGACATGCAAAGACCTCAAGGCTTAACCATAAATAAACGCGTTTTAGGTCTTAAACACAACGTTTTTATCCAGTTAAAAAAAGTTACTTTAGCATAAAAAATAAATTCCTTTAAAAATTTGATACGTTTTATTAAATTTGTTATTTTTATCAAATAATATAATAATCAAATATATCATAAAGAAAATTTGAAAATTTTCTTCGCCTGATCTCATATAACATTCAAGAATATTCATTATGAAAACTGAAACTTTCTTGAAGTCTATAAGTCTCAATTGCTGTGCAAGTATAAATAATAGTTATTTCATTTTGTGGGCTGGCATGCAAGCTGTTAAATGCCATAAATAGCATTTTATTTAGACATGCTTTAAATAAAAATTCATTGGCCAAACGTTTTATCAATAAATGCCATAAGCAAGTTTTACGCACATTTTATGACACTCGCAGACGTTCACACACACGCACACACACAGAGCGAGAGACATAGCCCAATAGCCATGGCTGCTGCCAGGCATTTATGGCAGTCTTACACCTTTTATGACGCCAACACACACGCACATCTCACCTCAGCAGGGCAAACAATAAAATGCCAGGCATTTATGTGCGCATATTTCTGATTGTGTGTTAAGTGCGTGTCTCTGTGTGGGTGGGTGTGTGTGTGTGTGTGTGTGTGTGTGAATGTGTATGAAAGTCTGCTCTTAATTCATTCAAGTTATATATATATACTCTCTGTGGCATAGTTCTAGGCGCAGAAATTTCCAACTCTGAAATAAAAATAAAATTTTGTCGCCCAAGTCGAGTGTTTTTTGGTATTTATATAAACGAGCATATAATAGGAAAATTGCACGCAAAACGCGATTAACATATCAAAAAATAATGTTTTACAGCAACTTTGCAGCTTTGCACATTTGCATTTACGTTCAAGTTTCAGAAAAACAATTTATGACCCAAGTACAAGCACAACAACAACAACAACAACAACAGCAACGAACCGCAACAAAAACGCGTGCAGTCGGCGCATAAAAAATCCTTCCTAATAAGTATAAACAAAAAGAAACTGAAAAAAATTGGAGCGCAACTGACGTAGTTAGTAAAACGGCAAATAAATGCAATGTTTGTGAGTCGACGGTTGTAGGGTGTGAACGACGAGCAGATACGCTGTAGTTAAAGTACGCCTCAATTACAGGGTCTGCCATTGTGATAGTTTTTTGCAGCTATTGCAAAGTTTTGAACTCAAGCATTGAAGCTATTTATCTTATCTTAAGACAAAAGTACAGTAATTGATTATTTCAAGTGGCTATAGCTTATCGCTTTAATATAACTTTCTTATTTAAAAATGAAAAGAATTTTCCTAATCTTTAGCTATAATGCTCAGGCTTATGTAGTTGAGTATTAGAGCTGAAAAAATATAAAAATGTATCTGGCATTTAGTTTTTAGGAAGATTTTACAGCTTCAGCTATAGTTAGATATAGCTGAATAAGTAGAAAACTCTTTTGCCGTTGCCGGACCTTCCCATTGCATCAGCTAAGGCTGACGATTACTTAAAATCTAATCATAAATAAATAAATATATATATAATTTTAAGACAAATACATAAATACATATATATATATTTATATATATATATATATAAACATCTTATATTATATTAAGCTTCATCATATTATTTCATTATTTTCTTAATATTTTTTGCAACAGAAAGACAGTAATAATGCTGCTAATTTTACTTTTTAATATAATTTATTTGATTATTTTGCTGTTCTTATGCTTTTATATTTTATTTTATTAAACTTTTTTTTTGTTGTTTGTTGACATTTATTTTATATTTTTGTAATTTAATTTATAGTATTTCTCTAAAAGTAAATATCGCACGACTTGGGATTGTTTTTGTTTATTTATTGCCTTTTTTATAAGAATTAAATTTTAATACAAAATATTATATATCTATTTTTAACTATTTGTTTTGGATTTTCTACAAATATATTTTCAAAATTTATAAATTTTTTATTCTTAATTAATAAAATTCTTTAACGAAAACTTTTTACTTTTATTTTTTATATTTATTTATATAATTTTACTATTGGTTTTATATATATATTTCTTTTTTATATATTTATATTAATTTTCTTAAATTTGTATTTCTTATAGGTATATCTTTATTTTTCATATTTGTTTATATTACTTTTTAATTTTTTTTGCAACTTTAAACTAAATAACCAACATTTTTTACTAGCATATTAATTTTTTTATTTTTTTATTTACTGTAAGATATTATAATAAAAGTTAAATTAATACCAAAGAAATATTTCAGAAATTTAATATTTGTCAGCCGCTTAAGAATGCTTTACATTTGCAATCAGCAAAATGAATATTACTAGACATCGACAGTTCAAGCAATAAACTTATTGTTTACCATATATAAATATGAAACAATAAAAGTACTTGACTAATTAAATTTTATTCCTAAGCACTTTCATAAATTTCTATAAACAGTCAAATTATGCGAGCGAATGATATCACCTTTTTCGCCAAGGACTTTACAGCAAAAGTTTTAGCAGTCATAGTCACAGCAGCTCTCTCCCTCTCTCACATCCTCTCTCTTATTTATGTCAATGTTTTGTTTTAGTTCTTTTATTATTATTATTGCTGTTGTTGTAGGAGGCAGTTCGGCTGGTCGACGGCTTGCATGTCGTACCCACTTGTACTACCTTTTGAACTTGCAATAAGAACAAAAACTGACGCGCATTTCGTCGGTTGTTGGTTTTCGTTCTGGGTTCTGGTCTCTGGCTCTGGCTATGACTCTGGTCTCTGGCCCTGCTTTATGTGATCAACAACGTGTTTTGTTCTTACTCAAGTTGTTTGGTACTATGCGAAAATTGCTTCGGCGAGAAAAATAAGTGCAGGCATGTCAAAAACAAATACACACAGTCGAGCGTTTGTTGTTTTCTGTTCTTTTTCCTTATATTCTCTTTGTTTTTTTTTTTTTTTTTTTGAGGGGCAAAAAGTTTTTGTGCAGTTTTCTTGTTAGTTTTGAATAACCACCTCATAAAAGTAATACCACAATGTCCTTGCCAGTGCAATTTTTGCAATTTGTTGTCGCTGCTGTTGTTGCTGCTGTTGTTGTGCGCCTTTCTCATGCGCAGCTTGATCGAAATTTAGTGCAAAACTTTTACGCAAAGCGAACCAAAGGAAGGCAAAAACTGGGTTAAAACGTGTGGCATAGTATGCCAATTAGCTGACATTCGATTGGCTGCCAGGCAAACAGCTTTCACTTTTCGCGCTGTGCTGCCAACCTGCCACGCCCTCTAATCATAAAAAACGACATTAACAATGTGCGCACCGACATCTAAATTGGAAATCTTTGCCGCGTAGCAGGAACAAGCATATATATATACGTTTCTTTTTTGCTGGCTTGTGTTGATTTCCCAGCCACGCCCCGTTTTTTGCTCCTTCTTCTTCGCCTTCTGCATATTTTACCCATATTTGCTTATCAAGTAAAATGCATGCAACAACAATGTGCGACATGTTGCAGTTGAGGGAAAAAACTAGCTGTTTCCGGGACTCAAACACTACACCAAACTGATTGCGAGCCAACAACAAGAGCGCCAACAACAACAACAACAAAAAGCCGGAAGTATGAAGAGGTAGGCAACACTTTTGTTGAATTTGCAATAAATTTCAATGGAATAGCAAGAAAAGTAAAGCGCAACAAATAGATAGACAAAAAATATAACTAGCTAAGGCGTGTTCTCGAAAAGAATTTCAGCAGCAAAGCAATTTCGTTGGCATTTTGTTGATGCAAAATGCATTTCAGTGGAGAGCAAAGCAACGTAGTTTCAGAAAGAATC